TTCACTTGTCTGTCTTGTACTGAATTGTCTTCCCATGCTGGACATGATCAAAATGAGGACATAGTAAATTAAAATGAAAACAATTTTTTTATCTTAGAGTATTTTCTTGAATGACACCTAGAAACTCTAGTCTATGTGTATGATTTCTCAGTGTGGCAAATACAATATTCTTGCTTATGCCTTCCTTAGAATGAGGACGAAAACCTGAATTCCCTTGGTGATTAATTTGACTTTTGACTCTGCAGAGCTTGATCAGGTTGATGAATAATGATGTTAACAGAATAAGATTCGTGCCTCTCTTAAACAAAACTGCAGTCTACCTGTGCCTCATTAGTCCCACTGGATGAAGCACTGGGTTTTTTACAGCTTATGTGCTGCAGCTAACTTTTGGAAAAGTACCATGTTAAAGCAGGAAGTAATAATTTCAGAATTTCTAATTGTTCAGATTATTGAATTTTGGTATGTCTTGATCCACTGCAGTAAGTTGTCAGATGAAAATGAGCTTTTAAGACTGAACATTCAAAGACAAATCTCTCTCTTCTCCTCCCTCCCCCTTCTTTTTTGCAGTACTATTTTGGCAATCACAATCTACCAAGAGACAAGTTCCTAAAGGAACAGATCAAACTAGACGATGGCTGGGTGCCTTTAGAAGTAATGATCAAATTCAACAGGTAAAACAAAGTACAACTAGTCTGGATGGGGTAACTTTCAGCTACTTAACTCTTTTTGGAGCCAAATATCCCTGGTCTGCATGTACAACTTCTATTGCTGTTTTAACATCTGGCTTCAGCTTTGCCTGTATATTTGTAATAACCTGTGTCTGTTTACTCAATAGGTTAAGTCGCCTTTCAAAAGATTTTAGTGTTATTGTAGAAGCACTAAGAAAATCCAAGACTGGTCTAATGGAAATAAATGAAGACAAAACTAAAATCAGAAGATCTCCAAACAAACCCCTTCCTGAATTAAATGACCAATATAAGGCTGCAATTAAAAACAGATCTGTGTATGTTGTAAGTAAACTTCTTCCTTTGCACTGTGCTGTTCTGCATGACTTTGATTGAAAACCATCTAAGTAAAGCTTGAATTAACTCATACTAGATAGGGTATAATTTCTGACTAAGTGTCTGTTGCATATAATTGAAGCTTGTTGCTGTCTTGCAGAAAGGCTTTCCACTAGATGCAACTCTTGATGATATCAAAGAATGGCTTGAGGATAAAGGTCCAGTTGAAAACATTCAAATGAGGAGAACATTGCAGAGAACATTTAAGGTAGCTCTTGCGATGAACAGTTAGACCTGGGCCAGGGATCCCCCCGGACAACATTTTGTTCAGTTACGTAACACTGAATGTCTCTCACCATTTAACAGGGCTCAATATTTGCAGTTTTTGATAGTGTTGAATCTGCTAAGAAGTTCACAGAGATCCCAAACCAGAAGTACAAAGACACAGAGCTGATAGTACTTTTCAAGTAAGTCCACTTAACTGACGTCTGAACTAATAATGGTCAAGGGTGGATTTAGACAAGAACCTGGCTTGAACTGAGAAGTGTAAGTTTCTACACTGTTGTACAGGTATTGATAGCTGTACCTTTTGGAGGCTAGCTGTCCTGGTTTCAGCTGGGATAGAGTTAATTTTCATTCTAGTAGCTGGTCTAGTGTTACATTTTGGGTTCAATATGAGAAGAATGTTTTCAGTTGTTGCTAAGTAGTGTTTAGACTAAGTCAAGGATTTTTCTGCTTCTCATGCCCGGGCTGGAGGGGCACAAGAAGTTGGGAGGGACACAGCCAGGACAGCTGAGCCAAACTGGCCAAAGGGGTATTCCATACCATGTGACGTCATGCCCAGTATATAAACTGGGGGGGGGGGGAATCACTGCTCAGGGACTAACTGGGCATCAGTCAGCGAGTGGTGAGCAATTGCACTGTGCATCACTTGTTTTGTATATTCCAATCTTTTATTATTATTGTTGTTTTATTATTGTTATTAGTTTATTCCTTTCTGTTTTATTAAACTGTTTTTATCTCAACACACAAGTTTTACTTTTTTTTTTTTTTTTTTCTTCCCGATTCTGTCCCCCATCCCACTGAATGGGGGGGAGTGGGTGAGTGGCTGCGTGGCGCTTAGTTACTGGCTGGGGTTAAACCACAACACTAGCATCTCAACTATTTCTTGGCTACTGCTGTCTTAAAAAGTAATTATAATGGAATTCTTTAAGTGGTATTAACTTAGCTTATGTTCTGTTGAAGGGAGGAGTATTGTACAAAGAAGAATGAAGAAAGGAGACAAAACAAAGTAGAAGCCAAAGCAAGAGCTAAACAGTAAGTCATTATCAATTGAAGTGCCTGGTTTTGCTCACCTGACCACACTTGAACCAACTCTTAACTAATTTAACTTTTCTACAGGGAAAAAGAAGAAAAACAGAAACAAGCAGCAGATGCTGAAATGGTATGGGTTTCTTAAATCTCTATACCTGAAAACTATGCAATGCTTGCTTTTGCATGGATTTTCAATCCACACGTAACAAACATGCTCCTGCAGCTACATTTTGTAAACCTAACGTGGGATATTCAGAGTCTGAAATTCTATAATATAGAGCACTTTCTGGAAAATCACTTCAGCTTTTCTAACTAACCTACAGTAAGACTTTGTTTTGTCATGGCATTTAATCTTATTTTCAAGAGACTAATTTTCTTTAAAGGATCATATCCTGAATTTAAATTATTAGGCATGTTTACCTGTTCAGAAGTGATCCTAAATGCACCATTGAGATGATAATTTTTCTGTGGTATTTAAAGGATCCAGTAAGGATTTAATCAGTATTAGATAGATTTTCAACCTGAGGTGTCAGCCTTCAGAAAACTGTTTTGTAGAATTTAAAGAGTGTAACTCTCTTATGGGAAAGGAGTCCTAAGTTCCACAAAGATAGATCATAGTAAGCAAAGAAAATTTTAAAAAGGGGGAAGAAAAAAAAAGGAGCAGGACACACCATGCAAGACTTGGGCATCAGCATAAATAAGCTATGTAGCAAGAATGCTTGGATTACTGATGGAGCTAAGGGGGGGTGACTTAAATTGTTTATTTATCACTATCATGTTTTAATAGTCTTAGGATTGAGGGGAAAAAAATTAATATTCAAGCTTGACTCTTCAACAAAAATGTGGGTTTTTTTTAATCTCATTTAGAAGTCTCTGGAAGAAAAAACAGGATGTCTTTTGAAGTTTTCTGGTGATCTAGATGATCAAACATGCAGAGAAGATCTCCATGATGTATTTTCTGATCACGGAGAAATCAAATGGATACACTTTGTCAGAGGTGCGAAGGAGGTCAGTAGAATCTTAAGACAAGGAGTTAAGATATCTGTATTAGATTTTGAAACTGAATGATTAAATGCTTGTTCTCATATGTAATCAAATAAGAAATTATTTGACTTGTGGAATTGCAGAGTATCTAGAGAATTAAATTATCCCCTTAAATTCTTTCAAAAGAACACATAAAAGGTTCCAGCCTTCTCAGTTCATAAGGTCAAAATTGAGACTGAGAATGTTTGTTCGGACAACCTGAGGGTTTTGCTTCAGTCTAGGCATATTTTACATCATGCAAGAGTAATGAACTTACTGAGGCACCTAACAGCATACATTGTTCATCATTCTAGCTGAATGTTTTCGCAGTAAGATTCAAATGCAGATGCCACTCTTCTTTTTAAGGGAATTATCCTCTTTAAGGATATTGCAAAAGAAGCTCTGGAAAAAGCCAAAGCAGCAAATAATGGAAACTTACAGCTTCGGAGCAAGGATGTTACATGGGAAGTGCTAGAAGGAGATGCAGAGAAAGAAGCTCTGAAAAAAATACTGGAAGATCAGCAAGAACTGCTGAAACAGAAAACAAAAGGTCCTCCTTTTATTGGCTTAAACATTTATAATGTCCTAGAAGTGGCATTGTGTGAAAGTAACTGTGAATTGTGAATATGTACTGAACACTGACTAATTGTAAAGCATTCTTTTGAGTTTGCCAGTTAAAAGACAAATGATACAAAGTTCCTGACATCTCCCCACAGGACGCAAAATTAAAGGAAAAGGAAGAGGGGGAAAGATACCTCAAGGTGCACACAAAGGAAAAGTACAGTTTCAGGGCAAGAAAATAAAGTTTGAGAATGAAGAAGAAGGTGGTGAAGATGATACCAAAACAGGTATGTTATTTTGTGCACTGGATATAGCTTCTTTAGTACATGGAGCTACTTTCTGGAGAAGTACTCATGTTTATTACAAGTGTTTCAGATTTGGCCCTCATTGTAGTATTTCTGTCCTCTTGTCAGTATCAGTAAAGTAACTTTAAACGTCTTGCGCTTGATTCCTTCCAGAACTGTCCAAAAAGTTTATTAAAACAATTACTAGATAGCTGAGGCTGTACTGCAGGGCTGTTCAAAGCATTCTGCATTGAAAGAAGGGGGTTGTCAGCAACATTACACAACTGTACAGACCCAGTCTCAAGTGGTGATTTTTTTTTTTCCTTGAGGATATGAGAAGACTTCATAGTTCTGCATATTGGTATTTAGCTTGGAGAAGATGAAGAGCTAAGTTTCTGTTCATTAGATATGGCACCTGCTTAAAGAAAACCCAGTGAAACCTACTCCTGTTAGATTGTATTCCTTCATCTTCTTATCTGCCTTCCTACTGTGAAGTTATACAGGGAAGAAGCTCTTCAAAGTTGCCATTTTAGAACATCTAAAAGCTTTAAGTCACAGCAATAAGTAAACCCTCTAGCACAGCAGTGGCTGTGGATAAACTAGGACTCATCGTTGAATTTACATGGTAGGAAGGGTTTGTTTTTTTCAGAAGATTTCATGTAATACTGAAATGCTTTCCTTTACCATAAATGACTACGTATTCGATCTTGCAGAACCAGCAAGTCCCAAGAAGAGACCACTAGAGGAAATGGAAAAAGAACAGCCTGCACCAAAACAACTGAAAACAGAAAATGGAGATGGAGATCAGTAATACTACAATTTAAAAAAAAAAATTTTTTTTATTGTTCCATTTTCAATAGGTTTTAAAGACATGCCTCAGTTCAGGAGTTTCTTGGCAGAAAATCTAATGAAATCCACTTCAATGTCAACCTACAATGAGATGAAAGTTTCATTTTGTTGGGTTACAGCTTTTTTTGTTGTTTAAGAAGCATGTTTAGTCTTACCACCCTGCAAAACTCTTTTATATTTATAGTTTTGTTTATACTGTCAGATCCTCTCAACTTCTCTGGCACTTCATTCAAATGTAAAAGGTTCCAGACTTTGTAATCTTGCGGTTATGTTAAATAGCAGCTGCCAATAAATTCAGAACTTCAAACTGCTTACTACTCAAGCCTGGATGTTAATGTAGTATAAAGCTGTAACTGTGAAGTAGCAAAGCTGAAGGACAGGCTTCCATTATTTTAGTTCAAGTCACCAAGAGACTAGGTACAGCTGAATAAGACTTCTAGTCTTTGCTACTCAACATACTTAAGTCTTCAAATCTTGGTCAGTCTACTCCAGGATTCTCTCTACTTCCCCTGTGGTAATGAGATACATGTCTTCTAGGCCAGCATTTAGCACCCAGGAACTTGCCTGTGGGCTTAAGCTTCCATACTCTAGTATCCTGACTAGATCTTCTATTGTAGGATGAAGTGCACAGCTTCCTCCTGCCCCCTCTAAGACAGTTCTATGAGAGATTTCACTGGCTGTAGCTATTTGCAGTACAGAGCATAGAACGCTAAAATAATGCTACAGCTGTAAAATCCTAGTTACTCTGGCCTTCATTACTTAATTCAGTCTAAGTTCCAGTTGCAGATAGGATCAAGCAAATTAACTATGGAAAGCTGAGTCAAGGAGATTACCCTTGGCTTTTTCACATCTAGTTGCAGTGCTGGCTTTAATCTTTGTGTATATCTTTGACTTGCATTACAATGATTCTTTTCCTTGTTCAACTACAAAATGTAGTAACAGCAATGGCACTTGATGCCATTGTGAACTTCTCTCAAGTGCTGTGAGCATTCCTCACCCAGTACATATGGCCCTAAAACTTAATTTTCTTAAGTAGAATTTATTTATCTGCCTAGTACAAAACAGAGCATTTTCTTAGTTATGTTAGGTTTTATACTTACTGATTTCTTCTTATGGAACTTGTATGATGCTGGTAGGTCATATCTAAGTTCTGTGAACAGTACAAAGAATACTTGTTAGACTAGAATGATTATTAGTCAATTGACTTGCACCCTACATCCCTATTCTTCTATTTCTCCTATTGTCTACCTCTGTTGCCCCCTGACTAGATAACTGTTTTGACCTCTGGACTAGATTATGACTGAACATTTAAGCCAACCACATCAGACAGTAAGTGGATGGCTGAAATGCAGTTGTGTTTCAAGCACTTGTACAACTTCCATGTCTCAAGTTGTACGACTGTATAAAGCATCCAGCTGGTGATATTTAAGAGTCAGGAAGATACTTGGAACAACTGTCAGAAAAATATTTAGGTGGCTTTAAGGACAGAATGCTTTTTTGTGTGAGAACTGACCTGCACTTTTGCTTTTGTTATTCAGCAACAATCTCCTTTTGAAGCAGGAAGGTAGGTAACTTCTGCTTGAAGGCAAGATCTAGTCCAGGAAGAAATCCAATTCTAATTCTGCGCAGAATATGTATCCCTGTGAGCTTTAGCAAGTGCCTGCTTATATTCTAGCCAGGTAGCAAGGTATTAAAAAAACAAACAAACAAACAACCCACCAAAAAGGCTGCTTAAAAAAAGATATGTGTCATTTTCAGTGTTAAATCACACTTAAATTTACCTCTGGCTGTTAAAACTGACTAGTAGTGTTAAAGATACTAGCCCCAACAAAATGTTTGGGTTTTTTTTTTTCCTTTAACAACAAATTAATCTTACCTGCTATGACTTCCATTTTCACTTCCCATTCATCTGCTTTCTTTTGAATGTGCTACAATATTAAATAGATACAGGTAAATTTAAAAGCTTGTTTCTACACTGTCTTATAAACATCTACACCGCTGTAGTTATTTAAGAAGTCTCCTGTGCTTTGTTTTTCAAGCTGAAACATTAGATCACATACTTATCTTGACGTATGTGAGATCACAGTTATTTGACATGATTAGTATTTATCCAAAACAAGCTTCATACCCTATAAAGGTGTGAACAAATCAGTGAAGCTATAGACAACATCATTAAATGCTAGCTATTTCATTGCATGGTTAATGCGCCCTACTAAAATGAAGGACTTACCTGCCGTGTTGAAGTTTTGTGAAGGGAATATACAGCTGTTTTCGCCATTTGTAAAGCAGTTTTCAGAAAAATCATATCTATTCCTAAAAGAATGATGAAATTACTAGAACTGTTAAATGCAAGCTTAAACTAGAGAATTTACAGATCTGCTGCATACTTCAATTTTTCTGCAGTAATAGCTATTTGAGAAACAGTGCTGAATACATTAAAATACAGAAAGTATTTCCAAAACTTACCCACTTGCTTTTACTAAAAGAGAAAAATGATATGAAATAGCTAGAATTGTTTATTTTTAAAAAACCCAGTGATTGTCAGTCACAATGCTGAAGTTAATCTGTACTTAGGAAACTGATTCCAGATCAACAAAACTCTAGGTAATTACAATAGGTAATTGTAATAAAGAAGGGAGTTGTTTCATTAAAAGTGTTTCCCTTGCTATTTCATTCCTAATGATTTCTAACTGACTTTTGGAATTACCAACCTTTATTATGCTTGGTACCAAAGGGAGGGTTCATAATAACTGTGTCAAAAGTCTCCAACATGCTGTCAGATAAAGAGCAGACATCACACTGAACCATGTTGATGTTCGTGAGCTCAAAGTCTTCAATATTGCTATTAAATATTTCCAGTGCATCTGCATCTATATCAAACCCCACACACAATCTATTAAAAAAAAAAAAAGCTACATATTAGCCTCCTGCAAACTAAAATGGTGTTTAAATTCTACAGTAAAGTTTTGAAAGGGATCTGTGTATACAACTTGTTTTGTCTAGGAAGTGTAACAAGCATACACTACAAATTCAGTGCTGATAACAATGTGAGTAGCTCTTTGCCCTTTCTCAAATATCCTTGTAAAGTCTGTGAAGGAAGCTTCATGTGTTCATTTGGTGCTTCAGGGGAAAGCAAACATTGTGACTTCCAAATTCATGGCAACTGTCCATCTCTTGCACTATTTGTATGGTTACTGACTGTCTAAGCATAGTAAATAGCCTCATTATGCACCAGATTAGATACCTAAAATTAATTTAGTTCAGAATTGCTATGTTTTAATCTATTTTTCTATTCTTCTATGCCAGAAAAAAACAGAAGCAGAACTTAGTATTAAATACTTACCCTGCTCCTAACATTGCACTTCCAATGCTGAGCATGCCACAACCACATCCTAAATCTGCAATTGTTTTGTTTTCAATATCATCAAAAGTATTGTGAATTGTATAAAGCATACATGCTGAGGGGGGAAAAAAAATCCACAGGTCAATAATACCAACTATTGCATCTGATTAATCAAGAAAAGCTACTTCTGCCTTCAGAAAACTCTGAACTAAAGGTTTCTTGTCATGCAAAATTAAGCTGATGTTCTCACTGCCTGTAGTTCTCTTTTTCATTTATATGTGAAAACAAGTCAAAACCATCTTGACGAGTTATAGAACTCTAGATCTTTGGTGGAGAGACTACACATAGAGCTGTTGAATATTGTTTGTGGGAAAAATATGCCTCTAAATTTGGTGAAAAACAATAGAAGGATGTAAAATGTTAGAAAATCATAATTAAGGTATGGATGAGTGTTGGTATATACGCTTTTACTGTTTTTTGTGTGTCATGAAATAAGTCCATTTCAGATTTCTCATTTACAGATTAAGATGTTTCTATCACAACATATCGTTTAAATCAATTTACTTGATTTTTGGATTGTACATTAACAGCATACTTCTAATGAAAAGAAGTTAGCAGCTCATTAAGAAATAATTAATTACATTCCAGCTGGATACAATTTCTCAACTACTTTTAGTGTAAAGGCTTCAAAGGAGATAATGCAGTGGAAACTTTTTATTTTAAAGTGCTGATGAAGAACTAGTAAGAGACAGCAGTGTCGTAGGTAATCTCTACCTGCGATATGAGGTCTTGTTGGATACTGTTCAAGGAGCAGTTTTGGACTTTCGAAAGTATCGACTTGTTGAAGACAGCTTTCCAGTTCCTTAAGCTTTAATTTCTTCATGCTTATAGTTTAACTGAGGAAAATAATGTGTAATCAGTTACAATAATATAAATAAACTACATATTATCTTAAATTACTTTGTACTTAAAATCCCACTGTACTCCTCAGCATCTCCCAGGTGTTTCCAGGCAGCAGTTTCCAGAGATCCGGCTGACGGCGCACCGCTGGCGGGAGACCGGCGCGGCGCCGGCTAACGCCAGGCCGTTCCCGGACCGCGGCAGCCCCTCTCTCCTCGCGCACCGCCGGTAACCGGCGCCCGCCTCGGCCCGGGCCTCCGCTCCTACCGACAGGCCCCGGCCGCCGCCGAGAGAGGCGCCCAGCCCAAAGCGGAGCAGGAACCGAGCCCCAGGGACCTCCGCCAACCAGGCCGGCCGCTCGCCCGACGGGGCCCTCCCCGCGGCCGCGAAGCCGCTGACCCGCAGACGCCTCCACAGCCCCCCCCGCCACCGGCCGCCCCTTGACGCCGCCTCCACTCACCGCGGCCCCGGCGGGGCGGG